CATTCCTATTGCCAAAGAAATTGGTATAAACAGAAGAGCTGAGAATATGGGGCTTAGAAGACAGAAATGATAAAGGTCACTCATGCATTTCTGATATCTAAAGCCAGGAGAAGCATTTGTAGATAAGCAGGAGACCTGATTTTTATTCATTAATTGGCCCACTGTCCTTGGAGAAAGTAACGCCTCGGGGTCTCAGTTGACATATCTGTGAATGGGGTGACAAATGACCTCCCATAGGCTTTTCAGTTCCTTTAAATATTAAATGTCCAGCTAAGACTGGTTGGGGGAATTAAGGCAGACGAGCCTCCAAAGAATTAATATTTGAAAACTTTATTTTCTCAAATGAGCACCAACACAGATTGGAAATATGACAAAAACAATGCACTTTTCTCTACAACTGAATCACTATGTACAAATACAGGAGATGGTAAAGACAAATTATTGGAAAATAATGATCTGTTATTAAAGCAAAGTGACCTGAAAATGCCAACAACAACAAAAAAGATAAACGAAGGAAAGAAAGTAACAAAACCCAAACCCAACAAATAGTCTGTAAACACAAGCATAAACAGTCCACACTTCAAGACAGTCTGTGCAGGTTGGAAAAGCGAACTCTCACTTTCACTGAAAGGTTATACAAAAACGGATGGGCCGGTAGAGTTTGGTAAAATGACAAGAGCTTGCTTCTTGGCTTTATCTTTCACTACTGGTAGGTTTCATGACTGTATTTTAATTGAAAAAATTAAACATCTCTTTCCTCTACCTAGACCATTAGCACGATTTCTCGTTTGAGGCAGACTTTTAAAAAAATATGTAAATTGATTGTGTTTGAGATTTGATTTCTCAGCCTCTTCCTGAACCTGAGGCAAACTGACCTTAAAAAAAAGTTCAAAAGTTGTTCACCAACAAGATATGTGCATTATTTTATTACTGTTCTTTCAACCCAAACCAGTCACTGTTTTAACATGATGTGGCTTCTACAACAGCTGGAGCACTGGGTAATGTGATGAGCACACTCACGTCTCAGAAACACAGATCGGACTCTGTGCGATCTTCCCAAACAACAGATTTCCTTTATAGTCTGTAAAAGTTGAGCACACAAAGAAAGAAAAAGGAATCAACTGGCAACAGCTCCATGCACAGGAAAACAAGATCCTCGTGGTTTGTGCTGTTGGTCCGCTCAGAAAGAAAACGCCCACCAGAGAGAAGAAGAAAAACCTTATGTGCCCAAGGTGTAAACTATAGGTAAAGTGTCCCCAATTTAAAAAAGAAGACAGGAGGCACAGTCCAAAGTGCTTTTTACACACACACACACACACACACACACACACACTCACACACACACACACACACTTAAAAACAAGATTCCCATTTTCCAATTTGTTTCACTCTAAGTTGTTACTAAATTTATTTGACTATATTTATTTTCTTTTCTAGCCAATACTGGTGCAAGAAAATAGTTCAATTCTCAACCTGGTAACTTACTGTAGAGTTCATCTCATTGGGGGAAATACAGGGAGGCACTGTTTCATTGCCTCTAGATTGTGATAGAGATGTCTTTAAAAAAACAAAAAAACAATAATACATCGGTGATCACTGTTTCCCTTAAAATATACTTCAAGAAATGCAGAGGAAACCATAAAATTTAAAAATGAAAATAAAAAGTGCTCTCAGGGGATCTGAGAAAACAGCACCAAATATATTATTTAAAAAATTAAATATTATTTACAAAAGTATATTTCACAAGCAACTGTTCTTTTATATATATCCACTTGCAAATCTTGTCATAAAGGGGCTACCTCTCCTCTCCCCCACGGACCCACCACCAGTCCGGATCTTCTCTCTCTGCCTCCGAGCTCGCACCGCCAGAGGCGTCGTCGCGGCAGCCCTCGGCCGGCCCAGCTGACTACCTGTGACCATCCCCTCCGGCTGAACTTGATTCGTGTCACATCAGCCCATCAGCAGCCTGAGACGAATATCGAGGGGGGGATGGGGTGTAATCCAGGACCACGAGGGCCGTCTGACCTAGGATGGCATGGGGAGATGGAACTAGAGAGTCTGCGGCTGGACTTCAGTTGAAAATGAAGGCAGCCACTGGCTGAGGTATAGAACTCCATGCCTCTCCCTTTCTCCCTTCTCCCTTTCCCCTTCCTTCCTCCCTCAACCCCACCTAAGTTTTACATCGAACTCCAATTCCCTGAACCTACCAGGGGTGAATGGATGAGGTCTTTGGTTATGCTCTGAGTCAATAATTTGGTGAGGAAAATTAAAGAATGAACGGAGGCCATCAGTTGACGCATCTCCATTGCTCAGCTGCGCTCTCTCTGATTCTATGATGTTCGATAGACAAGCCATGAATGGAGCTAGTTTTAAGAAGCACTTTTGGTTTCACTGACACACAGGGAAAGCCTACTGAGTTGGGCTTTTGTTTTTCTGTAGTTATGGAAAAACCAACGTCTCACTCAGATCTGTTACACCAAATATGGCGCCATCCACCCACTGGATGCTCAATGGATACTAATTGAAGAAAACCAAGACCAGGGTTCCACTGGAGCCTGCTCTGACGCGTGCCAGTCAGAGGTCCTGCCCCCACGGAAGTACAGCGACACACCTGTCTCCCTTGCCCGCTGAAAATTCTAGGGTACCCCATGTCTGGTTTCCATGTCTTCACACCCCATTTTTTCTTTTAAAGACAAAACACCTACCCACATTTAGACCCCATTTTCTTTTTATGGCAAGAAGTATCAATAGCCAGGACATTCCCTGAGCAAAGGGGCCAATCAAAACCCATATATGAAGGCCACTACCTTCTGTTGGGGGGGCGGGTGAAGGGGAAGCTATGATTTCTGTGCTGGCGAGCCAGCTGAGGAATGTGAAAGTTTTTTGTTTTTTTTTTCCTTTTAGCTCTTGCGCCTGGGAGCGCCTGGAAGCCAGGCGCAGTGTTTCTCTTGGAGCAGAAATGCATGACTTTTTTTGAACTTCAGTCTGCTTTTCAGTATTGTGGGGACAACAAAATCTCCCAGGGCTACTAAAGCACCGAAAGACATGGGCCAGAAGCCTTTGGGGACAGAATTTCATTTCGAAGACACTTCTGTCTTGCAGAGGCAGCGTACTGCTGAGCCAGGAGTCACCTGCACCCTGCCGGCCTGCCGTCTGCCACTGCCAGGGCAGGGCCGCGCCCACAGCAGGCCCCCCACTTGGCCAATGGCACACAGAGACACGGAGAGGCATGTCCGCGGCGGACTCATCCCGTATGGGAATTCGGTTCAATTCCGAAAATGTCCTGGGTTGGCTGCTTGAATCTTGATTAATCACATTTATAGACTCCTGTCTCCATGAACACATTCTTTTGTGACTTTTAAGGTGAATATTCCTGTAGGATCAGCCTACTTGGACAACGAGATACTGAGAATTACCTGACATAATCTACACATATCTGAGCAGTAATAGTTTCAGTCTAAGCAATGAAATTCACTCGGCTAGATGAGTTTCGGTCATGCACCGTGTACTGACTGGCTGAACTGCTGTAGAACAGACTTCACAGTGTTGATTAAATGTAACAAACTCCTCCCCCTCTCAGGAGCCTTGCAGGGATTTGTTCTCCACTTCCCCTAGTGTAATGAGCTTTGGATAGGGAGGTGAGGAGCAGGGGGTAATATTAAAATTTGTAACTTGACGTTTGACATCAAATCTAAGCCCTCCCCACTGCTGGACCACTCTGTTTTCTCTCCACACAAAACATTCAAGTCCAAGGAGAACAGCTAGGGGCATGAGGAATCTACCAGCCAAGCTATCACTAAGCTCAAAGCCTTGGGACTTTGTTTTCCACAATCTACAATGATAGAACTGGAGAAAAACACCCAAAACTCTATGTACAAAGAATTGCTGATCTCACTGAAGCCACTGCATACCGAAGACGAAAGATGCACCTAACCTGTTGTGGTTCAAACCTAAACTACTCCCAGCATTGCCCCAACCCACCCCCTACCTCGTCACAATGCTCTACTCTTATTGAGTGAGGGTCAGGAAAAAAATGGTCAGAAATGCTAACTGCTTTTACTTTTTTTTTCCCCCTTGGCCCAACAGCTGAGCCATTTCTGCAGGAGCTCCACAACTGCAGCCCGCTTTGTTCCCTGTTCTCGATGACTGATTTTGCGTGGTTCCCGGTCCAAGCCTTTGGGATGTTTGGATTTTGCACCCACTGCAAAAGGCAGTCCCCTCTCCTCTCACCGCCGGTGGCTGAAGAGGAAAAGAAGATTACCTGGAGCAGCTGTGGGACTTCAGAGTCACCAAAACCCATGTGGGCTCTTCCCCCGAGTCACTCACTGCTGCCAAGACACCCCCCAGCTTGGCCCAGGAGAACCAGGCTGCTGCCCCACCTGCTAGCATTAGGGTCGCTTCTGGTGTCACATGCTAACCTGGCACATTTGGTGCAGGAACAGAAGCTTCTGATTAGAGAGAATGCGGTCATGAGGTATTTTTTTTTTTTCCTCTTTGTCCTTTTAGACAAGTTGGTTATTTCAAGCCTAAGTTACCAGGTCTCCAGGAGTAGCACAGTTCTGTCCCTACGTCTCCCCTCCCATCCCCTGCCCACCCCGGAACCCTCAAGGCCCCCCCCTTCCTCACACCCCCGCGCGGTGCACTGCTCTCCCGACCGGAGGCCATCGGGCAGCTCCCGCATGGGCCCTGGGCCCTGATCAAGGTGGGCTGCCGCCATGCGGTCAGGCGTCTGTTCCTTTTGTTGTTTTGTTTTCAGCCAACACTAGAACAGAGAGAGAAGCCAGGATCAACTCACAAACAGATACAAAGCAAAGAGACAGAGAGACAGCGATTTAGAGGCCGGGCACCAGAAAGACGGTGTCAGGGTGGGAGGACGCCCCAGAGGGCAAGGCCCCTAAACGGATGGAACCAAGTGTTCAGTCACTCTCTCACGCTTGGGTAGAATGTTCAGTTGGATGGCGTTCACGTGGACACTGGGGTGGGTGGGTGAGCTCCGATCAGTCCCAGCCATTGTCCTTGATCATGTGTGCTAGCTCAATGATGTATTTGCCTTCTTTATATTTCTGGCTGCTTTCAAAGGCATGTTCCTAGGAAACACAAGGAAGAGAGAAGACACTGAATGACAAGCAGGCGACTTTTGCGGCACAGGAGCAAAGGTGGTGCCAAAGACGGGCGCTGAAGTCTGCTCCCTTCTTCACCCAGACTCAGGGAGGGGATTCCCGCCACTTAACCACTCTCTGTCCCTTTCGAGTAACCAGGGCACTGCAGTGACACCAGGACTTTCTCAATGTAACAGAATTACCTTCGAGTCTTTGCTCATTCAAGAGTTTGCCCAAATATCACCCTCTCAGTTAAATTCCTCCCCAACTACTCAGCTGCCCAGAATCCTAGCTTCCCCTGCAGCCCGGCCCCCTCCTGCTGCTCGGCCGCCCAGCGCTCACCGCTGGCAAGCCCGCGCCGGAAGGAACTCGCACATCCATTTTGTGTGCCGACTCCCATTGCAACAGTATAAACTGCACAGAAGGCGGGCGTTTCCTTTGTTTTGTTCGTTGCTGTATCCCTAGTGCCTAGAAGACGGCTGAGCACATAAAGGGTCTTCGATAACTCTCCGCGGAAGGAATGTGTCTATGCGTATATATTTTGTCTGAGGGGAACTTGGTTTCTGACGCTAACCCGACATCTGACATATCCATAAAGTTCCTGTGTCCTAATTTTAAACTGGACTTTGCTAGGCTTAGAGGAAGGACCCTCAAGGCACGAAACAAAGTATCATGAGACTGAACAGGTCTTCTTTTCATTTCTTATCTTGCTGTTTGTACGTCAGACGTGTGTTTTCCCCTCCCTGCCTTTCTCCAGAGAACTCCAGGCTGAAGAGCCCGGCACCCTACCACCACCACTCTCGGCTCGCAGTGCTGTGGGCTTTCCCCTCACAGGCCCCTCAGAAGTAAGTCCTGGATAGGTGTGTTCAAAAGGCTGTTTTATCTGATGTGAGATCAAAAGGCTATTTTATTTGCAGGCAGATACCTAAGAGCCTCTTGGTGTATCATCAGAGCCGTTAGATGGCTAAGCGTGATGGAGAAGCAGCGGACATCAGCTCTTCCTCCTGAATCCCCACGTGAGTAAGTAAGCAAATCCTACTGTCGACAGGTTCTGGGCAGCACTTGAACTGGCTCTTCTGTTCTAGAGCTCGGGCCGTGGGTGGCAGGAGAGCTCAGACTACAGCCTTTTGTTGAGAGGAATCATTCCACAGAGCGGAGAGGGGAGGGGCACCGAGAGCGCGCGAAAACATACCACACACCAGAGCTGTGGGCTCAGCAGGAATTTCCCTGACGCTTCATTATTCCCTAGTGGGGATGGGGGAGGTGTGTGGGGGGGGTATACAACAGAGAATGTGGTTCAGGAATAAAACCTATTGTTCCACAGTATGTTCAGGGTGGGGAGAGGAAAAAACAAAACTAGTAAAGTGAGAGTATATCCCTATTAAGTTAAAAAAAAACAAACAGCTCCCAAGCCACAGGGCATCTGCAAAATGGCACAACTGGACTCCAGGGGCTGAGTATTGCTTCTGGAGTCTCAGCACCCTAGACGGAACTCCACTTCTGCTTCCTAGTACCAGAAGCATCACTTAACTGTTTATAATTTACAAAATTATAAACTTTGCACTTACAAAACTGGGGTAGTTATTAACATTTCACAGGATGATGGTGAGGGTCAGAAGGAGTAATGGCACGAAAGACTGGAGCCCTGGGTCTGGCCCCAAAGAGGGGACCGACGACTATTCGGGGGGACAGATGTCTCCCTCCGGTCAGGTGCAGACGTTATACTTGCCAACTGCTCTATCTGTTTGCCTGTGGCTTTCCTCCCTCCCTGGCCTGCTGACTGTAAACTCCCTGAGGGCGAGGGCGAGATCTCTTCACTTTTGTATCCAGCACAAAGGCTTTTAAAAAACGCTTTGCCAAAGGAGTGACTCATTTGACCTGAAGTAAGGAGCAAAGCCAACCACCTCAGATTTATCTTCTGTGGGTAATCCAGCAGAGCCTGAAAGGAATAAAATAACCAAGAGGTTGGGACACAGAGGTGGGCAGAGTATTTCTGGATAATCAACCCAAGCCCGTGGCCCCCAGATCACCCAGAGGGGGCCCCTGGCCACACAGGCGGGCGTGGGTATGAGGTGGGGGAAGAACGGCCAAGGCAGCTTTTCCCAGAAGGAGCAGCCAAGACCACCACAGGGAGCTCTGGCTAAACCATCTTGGCATCATGAAACACACTGTCTTGGTTTTTCCCTTTCAATCCTGAACGTTTCAAGGGAGACGTAAGTACGGCTCCATTACAGGCTCCACCTGCAGCCGTTTTCAAGATTTGCCTAGTTTTGAACTTTATTGAAATGCAAACATACTTTGATGCCTGGCTTCCATTGTTCAACAGCATTTTTTAAACAGACTTGATAGTTTTTAGAGCAGTTTTAGAGTCACACCAGGAGGAGCAGAAGACACCGAGGTCCCCCCAATACTCCCTGCCCCTACATGCACACAGCCTCGCCCACTATCAAAATCCTGGGGACTGCTACCTTTGAGACAATCAGCACATCTACACAACTGGCGTTACCACTCTGCCAGCTCCTCCCGAAGCCACGCAATGCAGGCCACCGGAGCCAGCCTCATACTGACATTTGGCAGCTGACAGGGCACGGCATCTGAGGCCTTCTACGGGGAATACATTACCCTCCCAGAGACAGGAAGACTCACTTTTCAATTCCCCGCCGTGAGAGGGCAGACAAAAGCATTGTGAAAGGTCAGCCAGGTGTGGTGACAACAACAACAATATGTTTATTTTCACTGAACATATATACCTCCCCCCATCCTGGCAAAGGACTGCTCACTTTCTGAGGTACCAAGAAGACGTGAAAAATATTTGTTGCGTTAAACAATGAAGGATAAATGTCCAGTTGGGGAAGTCCAACCGTGACTGCCTGACAGTGGACACTAACGCACAACGTTTGGCGATGCCTAGCACAGGGCTTGGGACCTAAGAGATGGTCTGGGGACATTTATTGGAGCGCCAGAGAGCATGGGCTGAGTGATGGAAAGAGACCTGACTTGGGGTGGTGAGCACACAATACAATATACGGACCATGTATTATAGGATTGTATACCTGAAACCTATAGAATTTTATTAACCAACGTCACTCAATAAATTCAATTAAAAAACCAAAAAGAGCATGAGCTCTGCTTTGCAGTCAGACCGCTACCTGGACTCCTATCCCGCTTGAGCCATGGGACGACTGGATAGCACTGGACATGCTGTTCACCTCCCTAAGTCTCAGTTTCCTCATTTATAACACAGGGGTTAAAGTATGACCTACCCTCTAGGGATGCTGTGAAGAAAAGTAATGTATGCCTGGAACGAAGTCAGCTGTCAGGAAATACCTTGTGCTAATATTATTGATGTTTATGAAATCAAAAGGCAAAGGGGTGGGGTGGGGTGTGTGTCCCTCTGTCCATCTCAGGGGGCAGGCGTGAGGGCATGAGTAGGCAGAGGGGACCATCAGTGAAAAAGGAAGAATAAGTGTGGCAAACAGAGGAGTGTGTCAGGCACTGCTCTTTGAGCTCAGTTTCCTGTCCTGGGGAAAGCCAGTCCCACAGGCCACAGAAAGCTTGCTTCTCCGTGAGGCTCTCAGCCACCCCCCTTCCCGGCCCTCTCTCCAAAAGATTTCTTAATACTTACATATTTCCAGCCCAGAGTGGTTTTGCAGTTTTCGCAGTAAATGTCTGCAACTGCATGCAGTCCTGTTAGCAACACTCGCTCTTCCGCAGGCCCACAGCCCACGTTAACTCTGTGCCAAGGGACAGAGAGAGGGCGGGTAGTTAGTCACATGTTCATCATCGGTTGCTCAAGCTGAACTTCCAGCAGAACACACACCGAGCATGGCTGCCTCCAGGGAAGCCAACGCCGAGAAGGGCATCATCTATAACTGAAATCAATAACAACCCCCAAGGGGCAGCCGCATGGAAAATCTCCACTGAAGTGAATTTCATGTCTGCAAGTTCTGATTCAATGAGTCTACCAAAAATAGTTTTAATAGTTGAGACTTTCTGCCTGTAATTTTTCTAACAAGTGCTTTTAATCTTGGGATTTCAGGGGACAAACTGATGGGCACACCGTGAAGTCCACAGCTCCGAGCTTCCTGGTGACTGCCTGCAGCAGGGAATGGCAAACGCGGCAGCCCAGCCTTGTCCTGGTCACAAGGGTGGGCGAGCCCTGGGTGTCAAATATACTCTACTCCTCCACAAAGTGCACATTATTATCTCAGGCTGAACACGCTAGATTTCCAGTTTCACAGTTTATCAGGCTTGCGGGAGCTTCACCTTCTTTTCCCAGAGAAGGAGCCATAAATGACATGCCCCGCTAATGCCTGGGGGCTGTGGCAGACTGTGCCCTGCAGCAGGGGGTGCGGGATCTTCCCTGGCGGGGGCCTTCCTTCCAGCCTGGGGTCCTGCAGCAGATGCTGGTGTCTCCTGTTCTTTCTTTCTCTTCCCCATCAACGTATCTCAGGCCCGGTTATAGGATCTCATGCTGAGGCCTCTCTCAGAAGCACTTCAGCTTCTTCCCTCTGAGACCACAGCTCTCTGCTGTGCCTACTGGGGATAGTGAATATATTATTTTTAGCAGCCACAGATGGTGCCAAAAAAATTCCCCAAAGATAACTGGCTACCACTTGTGGGAATTAACGCTCCATGGTTTGTTTGCTTTTTAACTGAGGCACAGAGGGCAGGGTCCACTGTTTAGGTACCATCAGGCATTGTTGTTGTCTCCCCCCACCCCTCCACATGCGCACCAAACAATGGAGGTACAGTTCAGAGACACTCACACTGAGTTAAAGAGGTACGCTCGTCCTTGACTTCCTTGGAACGACTGAAATGCAAGAACACAAACGGATGGTTAGACATCCCTTTCACCCACCCACTCGGGAAACCAGCCCCAAATCACGATAATCATGACCTTCCAGGATGGACACGGCAAGAAAGGGCAGTGAGCCAGTTAAGAGTCCCGCTGGCGGACGGCCCGGCGCGGGGAGAAGGCAGAATGAACAGCTACAGCGCCCGGGCCAGGCGCATCGGGGCTGCTTTCACGAGCCCAGGTGAAAAGATATGAACAACACACGCTCCACAATATCATTAAAAACTCCTTCCCTCCTGACAGAATCCGATATAATGAATCTGCCTGAGGTAATTAATCCCGCTGACCTTTCCTGGACCCATGTGATCTCCATCACCTATGCTGGCCACAGGCCCCCTCCCGTTGGCGAGGGCGTGGCAGCCGGTGCCAGCCCCTTGGCTCACCTCGGGGCCCAGCTCTGCAGAAGGCAGCAAAGAACCGCCGGGGCGGGGGTGAACTGCCGAGGCTGGGGTGAACCGCCACATCCACCTCCTCCTCACTGCAAGGCGGGGGGCCTCCTTGTAGGCCCTAACTGCCATGTCTGGCACCATCCTCCTAAAAGGGTGGTCTCCTTCTGAGGTGTGAGTAACTCAATGTCTAGGTCACAGGAATGCTCATTAAGCAGCCATCCCATGTTAACTTCCAGTGTAACTATGAGCTTCTTTCTTCCGGCCGGAGGGTGGCAGGGGACAGGAGAAACAGGAGCCAGAGGCTGCCATGCCACTTGGCGTCTACTTCCATTAGGACAGGCCTGGTCCGTGTTTTCCTCCTCTGGTTACACGCAATGTCTGGCTGACATGAGCCAGCCGTGTTCTGCATTGCTGCCTGCATTTTTAATGTGGCCTGACAATCGTACCCTGAATTAAGTACCCTAGTCTGCTCTGAAATCCACTCTAAAAACAAACAAACCAATAACAGGCTCTCCCATGACCTCTTATTCAGTGGCTGGAGAAATCTGGGGGTGACTGGTTAACTAGAGAGAACCAGACAGGATACAGATCACTGCACGCGAGACAGTCGCTGTCAGAAGCACAGGACTTCAGCGATCAGTGGCGCCAGCCGGAGAGGAAGGCAGAATTCCTGACTCGTGAAAAAGCGGCCTTTGGGCAGCTGGACGTTGCCTGCCTTCAACACCCAAATGCACCAGAAGCCTTCGCTCCCAGGTGTGGCTCCAAACGTTCCCCAGCTGCGCTCAAACCTAGACTGGCTCCCTTTCCCTTTGGGTCGTGAAGCCTCCCTAGGGGTCGCAGGAGCTCCCAGACTCGAGCTAAGCGTGAGCACGAGTGTCGCAACCTTGAAGCCTGCAACCAGGGAGTCCAGGCCAGGTGTTCGGATGAGACACTGTACCAGTGACACGGACCACAGATCTGGCCAACCCATTAACTCAGCCTTAGAGCAGAGACACCTGAGCGCTGCCAGGGCAGCCCACCAACCCCTGCAGTCTCTCCACTTGCTCCTTTCCCAGGGTAGCCTTTGCTGGGGTCAGGCCAAGCCCCATGAAGCTCCTGGAACTTGATCTCACCAGCTTTGCCCACCAATGTCCCCTCGGACAGAGGCATTGTTCACCTACCAACCCTAAGTCTCGGCTTGGCTTCCTCTGACCTCCCAGGAAGAGGGACCCAGGTGGCACCAGCGCTCTGAACTCCTCTTGTTCCCAGTTCCTTTTTTATTTGACTTTAAAAGGGAATTCGGACTAGCGGACGTCCAAGACCCTTTCTAGCTCCAAAATTATATCTGCTCATGGTTCCATGGTCCTACGTATGGATACTAGGAGTGTTGTCCTCTAAAAACATTTGTCAAGGCCTTTCAGTTCAGCTTACAAGGCAGCGGCTATGGGAAGACAGGTTCTTGAAGAAAGCAGACAGGAAAATGACAACATGAAACACTGCAGCTTCACTATTTCTGACAAGAAGTCACTTATTTCTCAAACATTCACAGATCACCCACTACCTGTGAGGCAGCGTTCTAAGACTCTGCAGGGCAGTGGTATCCTCAGAAGGTGCACAAGACAACCCCCTCAGGGTAGGAAAAACACTAGAAATTTATCTATTTATTTTTATCTTAAAGTTTCACTAAGCAGGCATAAGATATGGTTTGCCACTGCGATCTTCCCTGGGCTAGTGTGAGTCGTGTGTGTACCGGTGTCTAAAAACAAGTATGGGGCTCTCACTGTGTGTGTGTGGGGGGGAGGGGATACGCTTCTGCCTTTGCTTTCAGCACAACGTGAACACCACTAGTTCTGTGCTATAGGACGTCAATAATGAGACTGATCTCACAGAAGCAGATCTTTAAACAGCAGGATCCTTGCAAGTTTTTGTGAGATAAAGTACTGCATAGAGGTTCATCAAAGAACTTAAAAATGTAAAGTTAAACATTTTTCTTTTGCAAAAAAGATGAGCATTCCAAACTAGCTGGACTTCATGGTAAAAAGCAGGCTACTCTGCGGTATTTCAAAAAACAAAACAAAAACACTAAATCTGCCCCTTCAAAGTAAAGGTGACATTTTAACAGGGAATAGAAATACAAGTATGACTCCTTTTCAAAAGAAACTTCCGCTATGGAGGGAACTGGTATTTGGCAATATTTTCACTTTATATGATCTTTCTGGTTTAAAATTTATATGCCTATTCAAAATGGTTAATTTAGAAGAAAATGCGGGAGAAAATCGTTGTGACTTGATATATTAGCTATTACACCAGAAACACAGTTTGTTTTAACAAACTGTTAAATTGAACTTCAAAATTTTAGGCTTTGCTCCAAAAAGGACACCGCTAGGAGAATGAAAAATAAGACAGACTGGGAGAAAATATTTGTTAATAAGGTATCTGACAAAGGACTTGTATTTAGAATACATAAATACCTCTCAAAACTCAACAATAAGAAAATGGGCAAAAGATTTGAATAGACTTCAAGGAAGATAAACAGATGACAAATGGGCCCCATGAAAAGATGTTCGATGTCACTAGTTATTAGGGGAAACATGAATTAAAAACACAGTGAGATATGATTACACACATATTAGAATGGTTAATTTTTTTTTTAACAGAGAAAACGCAAGTGCTGTCAAGAATATATAGCAACTGGAAGGAACATTCCTACATTGCAAAATGGCACGGCCACTTTGGACAAGAGTTCAGTGGTTTTGACCTGACTGGTGTGGCTCAGGGGGTTGGGTGTCATCCTGCAAACCTGGGACCGCAGGTTCGATTCCTGATCAGGGCACACGCCTGGATTGCAGGCTTGTCCCCTGTTGGGGGGAGTGTAAGAGGCAACCAATTGATGTTCCTCTCTCACATTGATGTTTCTTTCCCTCTCTTCCTCTTTCTCTTGAAATAAAATCTTTAAAAAAAAGAAGAGTTTGGTGGTATTGTGTAGTCAAGTAAAATGGAAACCTATGTTTATAAAAAAACAGTGTAAGAATGTTTTTAGCAAATTTTTTTTGTAATTGTCCAAAACTGGAAACAATCTGAGTGCCTCTCAACTGGTGAATGAATAAACAACATGAATTAATCTGAAATGCGTTATTAGGCTAAGACAATCAGTGGTTGCCAAAGGTTATGGGAAAGGGGAGAATTTAACTACAGAGAGTGAATGGGGTGACGGAACTGTTCTGGTATCTTGATTGTGGGGGTGGTTACAAGATTATGGATTTGTCATACTCATAGGACTATACACCAGAGAGTGAATTTTACCATGTGTAGAATTGAAAATAATTTTTAATCCAATTTTTAAAAATAAACCATCTCTAAAATTTCCTGTATCTTTACACTGTACTCCTAAAATTTGTACAATGAAGAATTGTAAACAATTTCCTTACCTATTTAAAAGAATTCCAAACAAAGTTTTAGAGGGGCTTGTAGCCTTGTTAAAAACCATTTTTCTGAAAATCTGCAAGAGCAACTGCGAAGTTCAGTTAAAAACCTCTGTGTCATTGGTGGATAGGTTGGAACATGGGGATCATGGTTTTTTAAGCACAAAGATGCTACTAATGTTCCATTTGAAACTCCCTAAGTTTTCAGTGAGGGAAACTGTTAAAATGAAGTACTGAAATGTACTCTGCTTGGGACATACCTTTGAATACAGTATCAGAAAGTGGTAAGATTTTTTTTTTTAAACAGTATATCTTCATGAAAATAAGATTAAAAGCAAATTTATAATCGTTTCTTCTTTCATCTTTCAAAATGACATAAATTATTAAAATTTTCTTTTTATATATGCATGTAATGTACATATTCCGTAGCAGCACACATATACCATTTATGCAATAAATGTACATGTCCAGAGTATACGCTCACATTTTTTCTGATGAGGCATGTGATTTTAAAAGTTCGGAGGCCACGGCTCTGGGGGCCCTTTCTCTTGCCCTGACACAGATGAGAATTCCTGGAGAGTGGGGTGAGGGCAGCACACGCGGCAGCGAAGAGGAGCGCCAGCCGGGTGGAAAGGCCTGCACTGGGCCGCTGCAGCTCCCGCAGGCTCGTTCTACGGGTGTGCTGGCAGAGGCCACGCTCTGCGCTGGGGTGCCAGCCGAGCAGGGCCATCTCATGGCAGCATCTCCTCAGGGAGCCCCTGTGCGACTGCGTCTCTGGACCTGTCCTTCAGCCTGGCCCCAGGGAGCGCTGAGTTTCCTGGGGCTGAGCTCCTCCGCAGGGCTTCCACACTGGGGCCTCTGCCAAGTCCACAGCGATGATGGGAAAAACAGCGGCTGAGAACAACAGGCATCTTGCAAATAGACACAGACAAGAATAGGCCCCGGCTGGGTCCCTGTATCCGGTGGGGTCTGGCCCAGTCTGGCGCAACCAGGCACGGCCTGGCACTGCCTTGAGTGAGGGTGGTACCCAAGGTGGGGAGGCTGAGAGGAGGTTAAGGAAGCAACCGGAATGAGGCAAACAGAACCTCAGACCAGGAGATCCCAAGTAGACTATCAGACACGTTTGTTTGCTGTCATTACTGCCAAGCAACAAGGCAGCTCTTCC